CTACCCGCCCGCCCCCTCCGGCAGGATGCTGCCCTCGCAGGAAGCCTCCAAGCTCTACCATGACAACTACGTGCGGAACTCGCGGGCCATCGGCGTGCTCTGGGCCATCTTCACCATCTGCTTCGCCATCATCAACGTGGTGGTCTTCATCCAGCCCTACTGGGTGGGCGACAGCGTCAACACGCCCAAGCCCGGTTACTTCGGGCTGTTCCACTACTGCGTGGGCAGCGGGCTGGCGGGCCGGGAGCTGTCGTGCCGCGGCTCCTTCACCGACTTCAGCACCATCCCCTCGGGCGCCTTCCAGGCGGCGGCCTTCTTCGTGCTGCTCTCCATGGTGCTGACGCTGGGCTGCATCACCTGCTTCGCCCTCTTCTTCTTCTGCAACACCGCCACCGTCTACAAGATCTGCGCCTGGATGCAGCTGCTGGCAGGTACCCACCGGCACCCCCCTTCACTTACACCCACCCCCTACTATCCCCTCCTCTCCCCCCTTCCCCCCCTGCCCAACCCTGGGCCTTCTCCGGGCATTGGGGTGGGGGGGGATGGACCATGGGGTTGGCTGGGATGGCAGTGCCAAACGCAGGGCAGCAGGCATGGGAGCCCCAGGCACTGGTAGCAGGGTCCCCGGCCACAGGGAACACCAGGGTTGCTCAAGGAAGCCGGGCTGGCACTGGTAGAAGGGCCCCCAGCCACAGGGAACACCAGGGTTGCTCAAGGAGGCTGGGCTGGCACTGGTAGAAGGACCCCCAGCCACAGGGAACACCAGGGTTGCTCAAGGAGGCTGGGCTGGCACAGGTAGCAGGGTCCCCAGCCACAGGGAACACCAGGGTTGCTCAAGGAAGCCAGGCTGGTGCTGGTAGAAGGGCCCCCAGCCACAGGGAACACCAGGGTTGCTCTAGGAAGCCTGGTTGAGTACAAGCACTGCCAGGCCATGGTTCCAGGAACCAGCCTCTGGGCTTTCTGAGACACCCAGGCCAGGCACTATCATTGATAAAGTACCAGGAATGGGCACCAGCTCTGGGCACTGGTTCCCAGGGCTCACCAGGCTCTGGTAGCTGGGCCCCTGGCCCCAGGGAACACCAGGGTTGCTCAAGGAAGCTGGGCTGGGTATAAGTACTGTGGATCCGTAGGACATTCCAGCCAGGACCCAGCATCAGGACACCCCAGAGCTTCCTGGAACACCCAAGCCAGGCACTAGCACTGACAGAGCACCAGAAACGGGCACCAGCTCTGGGCACTGGCACCTGGGGGTCCCCAGGCAACACCTGACCCCAGGGAACCACGGGGCTCCCTGGGACACAGTGAGAAAGCTGCATCAGGGACCCACCTCAGGAGACCCCAGAACAAGCACCAGCCCTGGGGCACCCTGTGACGCTCTGGGCCAGAGACCAGCCTCAGGGCACACCAGTACATCCCAGTCAGGGGCCAGCTTTGGGACACCTTACAATAAGAACTATCCCACAGAGTCAGGGACCAGTCCGAAGGATGTCCTAGGACACCTGGGACGAGCCTCCTGGGGACCAAGACCCCCAGGGGCACCCCACATCAGGGATTAGTCCCCTCCAAGACAGTGGGGGGCTGAAGATCCCAGTCTCCCCAAGGGCATCCCTGAGCAACCCCAGCCTGCAGGGGATGCACACTTTAGGGGAACCCCCAGGCCCTGAAGGGGCTCCATGACTGGCAGGAGCCCATGCATAGACCCCCTATCCCTGTAAAAGGACCTGTGCCTTCAGCTTCCCCTTAAAGAGATGTTGTGCCTGGGCTCCCTTCCTCCCTCCAGCATCATGAAAGGGCTATGAGGAGAGACCTTCCCCAGCTCTCTGCCTGAAGACATCCTGAGTACAGCGCTTCCACAGAGGGATACCATACATTTACCTTGGTGTCTCCTCAGAAGTGACCACAGACTCGAGCACAATCATTGCCCCCCGAAGTGACCCTGTTTATAAATCCTTCTTTTTATATAAATCTTTCTCCCTCCATAAATGAAATCCAACCGTAGGTGTAACCCAACACCCTCATAGATTCACTCCTCAAAGGGACACTATACAATAAACCAGACTTTTCCCCAGAAAGCGACCTGATATGTTTGTTGATAAGGATCCCAAGTATCCCCTTGTGTGCAGTCCCTCCAAGCTGTCCTCACAGAGGGTCTGTGCTTTTAGGATAAAGACCCCGAGAAGAGATGCTGAGCCTCCCCTGGTAGCGGGACCCTTCACTTCCTTCTCTCTCCAGTTTTACCACATGGAAAGATACTGCATTACTCCTCACTGCATAGAAAGTGTGAAGAGGCCCAGAGCTTCCACCAAAAGGACTCAGAGCCCCCCATATTCTTAATAAAAGCTCCCCAGTCTGCCCTCCCTGGGAGAAGCCCCCCCCCCCCCCC